ATATATATGCTACATGTCTACAGAGTTATACAATTGTCTACTAGTAATAAAAAATTGGTGGGCGCAATTGTGTTTTTCAGGCTGGTTTTTTCCTGGTACAATATGCTCATCTGTGGCATGAGCATTTGAGTAGGTTGATACATTTATTTTCCTCTGGAAAGCTAAAAGTAAGTTATGTAGTACATACCTATACATATCTACCACAAAAAATTATTTCATGTATATGTCTGATTAGTAAACAACTGCTATGATTTTAAATTTTGCAACGTCATAACTACATAGCATTAATTAAAAGATTTAATTATCCTTTGTCGCCAAAGGTTGCCATAGATCCAAAAACATTTGTGGGACTTAATTCTGTTGCTGATGCTGTTGAGCATCTCCACTCCGGTAATAGCACTGGCAAGGTATGTACATGTTTGATGCTTTTCTTGTAGGTTTCAATTTTTTTTTTTTTTTCTAATTTTGAAATTTGGTTCAATCTAGTTGTTTAACGGGGAGGGGCAAACATTTTTTCAACTGCAGGTTGTGGTTTGCATAGACCCTTCATTCAGCCAACAAGTCGCAAAACTGTAAACTAGAAAGCACCACTTCAAACATGATCCGGAGTATGTTAATTATTAGTAATCACATCAAAAACAATAATAACAATAATATTCATAATAAAAGTTTTTGCAACGGCCATCAATGGCACTTCTATAGCTGCATGCCTGCATGTGTAGTTGCTGAGAGAAAAGTACTAGCATTGTTCTAGCGCCAATAGAGTAACCAAAAACGAAAATGATGATAGCAAATAGCAATGATAACGTTGAACTTTATTTTGTTTTTCTTGTTATGTTTACTTACTTTTCATACTCTGTTTTCTTCATTTAATTTAGATCGTTCTAATGGAACGATTCTGCCCAGTAGGCTTGAGTGTTCGACACGAATACAGACAGTGCAGTTATTTGCCTGAGGTGAAACCCGAATTCTGATATGTGATATGAAATGGTAAGTATTGAAAACCAGATCATGAACCGCGTACGAATCTGGTGGGAAAATAATATATATATATATATATATATATATATATATATATATATATATATATATATATATACAGAAAAGATCAGGTCCCTCCGGAGGGACGGGAGGGACGGTCCGAACTTTACTGTTAAGGGCGGTTCCTGGTGGAATTTTCCGATGAAATTTTTTGAGCATGTTCCTCATCAAGTCTAGTTTGTCCATACCAAATTTCAGCTCAAAATTCGACCGGGAAGGCAGTCAAATAAATTCTTGAAACTTACTGCACTTTCTGCGCATATATAAAGTGCAGTAAGTTTCAAGAATTTATTTGACTGCCTTCCCGGTCGAATTTTGAGCTGAAATTTGGTATGGACAAACTAGACTTGATGAGGAACATGCTAAAAAAAATTCATCGAAAAATTTCACCGGGAACCGCCCCAAATGGCGGAGTTCAGACGGCTGCTCCCGTCCCTCCGGCTGGACCTGAGCAGTCCTCTCTCTCTCTCTCTCTCTCTCTCTATATATATATATATATATATATATATATATATATATATATATATATATATACACACACACACACAGAAAAGATCAGGTCCCTCCGGAGGGACCGTCCGAACTTTACTGTTTGGGGTGGTTCCCGGTGGAATTTTTTGATGAAATTTTTTTAGCATGTTCCTCATCAAGTCTAGTTTGTCCATACCAAATTTCAGCTCAAAATTCGACCGGAAAGGCAGTCAAATAAATTCTTGAAGCTTACTGCACATTCTGCGCATATATAAAGTGCAGTAAGTTTCAAGAATATATATATAAAGCCCTTTTCAGTCACTAACAGCTTGTATACCTAATCGAACTAAATGAAACAGTCAGTTTTTTAGCATCTAAAAAAAAGCCCTTTATCAAACAGCTATCACATTTTCTTTTTAAGAAAATGTCTGTGACTTTTAGTATAAATTAGTCCTAACAGCTTGTATACCAAATCGAACTAAATGAAACAGTCAGCTTTTTATCAAACAGCTATCACATTTTCTTTTTAAGATCTTTTCAGTCACTAAAAGCTAACAGTTATTAAAAAGTTCACAAAAGTATCTTTTCAGCTTGTAAACTGGACTTTGAATCTTATACTTCGTATAAGAGTTAAGATTCGAGTGGTATTAAACAGAGGTTAAGAAGCGTTTCAAAGAATCAAAAGCAGAACTGGTCGATCAGAAACTAGTTAATCACAAAAACTAGACCCGGTTTCAAAGGCTTTGAAGCCATTGATTGAAGTTCTTAGTTGAAACTGAAATCAAGACTAAAGTCGTGATCATTTATTGGACGTATTTATAGGACCATCCTACACTGAAATGGACGTAAAATGACCATAACCATCTTTCTAGTAGGGGTGGGAAAAACCAAATCAAAACCCAACAATCGGCCTTGGCCTAGCCTAAATTTTCAAATTTGTTTATGATCTGTTTGTTAGACGATCCAAAAAATACTTGCACCGAATCTGGAAAGTCAAAACTCAAAGCAATTACTTTTAATATACAATCAATATAATAAACCAATACAGAGTATTATTTATAAATAATTCTGAATATATGAGTCATATGACTAGAATAAACATGGTGATCAAAATGACTTATTAACTTTTAGTGACAACAATCATGTTCAATTTGTACATCATAGTGACCATGAAAATATAATTGTAGAACTTTAGACACTTTTTTATCCATAATTTTGGTTAGTACCATACTACATACTACATAGTAATGTTTTTGAAAAAACCTCTATTATTTGTTTATATGTATCTAAAACGCAATATTTGTGTGACTAAAACACAATATTAAGATGAATTATTTTATTTGATTTTGAATTGTTGGTGCTTTTGGGGAGATTAATATTTTTGTTATTTTATGTGATTCATACTTTTGAGTAATTTTATTTGAAAATATGCTTAAATATAAAAGGACAAGGTGATATTTGTCATACAGTCTTTAATTGACCCTATTTAAACTCGGATCAAATCCGGACTATCAAAAATCCGACTTAGACGAAATGTAATCCTTCTAATCTCTAATTTTCAAAATGCGGGTTCTTGCGGGTAATGTTTTGGATTTAACAAAAACATAACCTAAACCAAACCAATCTCACTTTTACTTTTTAGTAGCAGTGTTAACTTCACATAAGTTATTTTATCAATGGTTCGGTTGAAGTTTTGAAAATACTATTCTGAATTTCTATTGGGTTGTTTGTACTGAATATCACTTGCCTAACTATGAGCATTAATTTAAGATGCTAAAAATTTATAAAAAAAACTTATCCTAATTAACAGTAAAAATACTTATCCTAAAAGTTATATAAAAACTTATTCATAAAATGACAATATTTCCCTAGGTTGTAAGTAACTACTCATATTTAGTGAATAAAAATTTTTCATGTACGATTGACTCTAGAATAGTAATATAAAAATTGTGTTGAGATATATGAAAAAGAGGTGGAAAGTAATACGGAGCAAATAAATTGTCCTAAATAAGAATAAAAATGTACATGAATTTCAAAATAGCACATTAGCACCACTATGTTTTGGGATTATTAAACTTTAAACATGTAAATATTTTTCAAATTTGACGGTTATTACACTTAATTAGTGAATAAATACATATTACTAATATATTGAAATTCAAAAATATTTTTACTCCCCTTTAATTTTGTTTTACTCCTATTGTATATGTTGCTTTACTTGGGGAACAAGAAATTTATTTTCAAGATAAAGAACATGATCAGTACCTTCTGATCGACACCATTGCCAATCTCCTAGAAAGGAGGTCGCTAATCTTCCAGTTTTCAAAAAAGTTAGAGAACATGATTATTTGCACTCAATATCTCAGTTTCCCTTCCAGTTTTCTATCGATAGCACATTGTTATTTTGTTAATTGTTTACAACGCACTCACCCACTGATCCACCTTGACATACAATAACTTGACAATTCCTTTGGGAATTAAAACTGTTACTTGGAAGATAAAAAACTGTACTCAATGGAATCAAATTCTAATGTTTGAACATACTTGTATTATGGAATTGGAGAATAAGAAAATTGATACAAATACAGCTACGGTTAAATATTTCTACAAAAGTAACTAAATAATCACAAATGAATCCCAAACTCTTCTCCTCTCATCAACATCCCAACCTCTAAGACCCACATTGCCGCTTTCGGGAATTTCATAAAAAGATGACGATAAACAAATAAACAATTGCCAACGGTCAAAGTGGCGCATTGAATTGGATTACATATGTTTGCATGTTTTCTTTGAAAGAATAAAAACGTAGAGCAGATAACAAGTGACACACTGACACGTAATGACTTATATTTTTGAAATTTTTAGTAGTTATACTTTTGTCTTTAGCTGTACTCTAATCTAGTCATATTAATGCCAAAAAATCATATTATGGGCAAAAAACTGTGCAGTAGGAATTGCATGTCTAGAATAGCCTTAGAATAGCATACAGTGTTGAACATCACTGAGATTTTCTTGACATTTCATATGTATACAGGTCAAGGCAGATAATATTTCATCTCAGCTGGGAGGGTCAAGGGTGAAATATTCTTTACTCCCCTCCCTACTCGTAGAGAACCCCAAAAATGAAATACTGTTCCAAAATCAAAATGACTTCAGGTATAAGGGGATCAACGGAATCGACGCCATCAATGCTCACCCCTCCGAAGTGTTTATAATAATTATACAAAAACTTATATCCTCTTGGAACATGGATTGAGTGTGTGAGCTCTGAATCTCTAATAAACTCCAACCCTTTTCACCAGCAGTCTATCTACACACACATCACGCACACAAAAGCGTTCTGGAGTCTCTGAGCTCATTGCATTGTAGCTGGTGGTTGGTGGTAATACCATCAAAAACTACTTCTGAAACCCACTCTTTTGCAGTATAATGTTCAACTTGACCCACACCATCTTCAACATGGCGTTCCTCAGGCTTACAAACATCATCGTGGATATATGGCTCTATGAATTTCATTGTCTTTTTACGTTTATCTTTCCGTGAATGGTCTTTGTCATATTCATTCAACATGAAACATAAAAATAATAAACACTGATATCAACAAACTCAAGAGATCATTTCATATTATGTTTCTTTTTTATATAGAAATATATAACTACTTTATTACCTTGATCGGCTATTTTCTCACAACCATCCAAGTTCAAGAGGCAAAGAGCTGCATCTACAACATCGGGGCCATTTACCCTTACTATATCTACCTGGAAAAAACGGAACTCTCTTAACAACCACATAATTCACAATGCTATATGTTTTATCCAAAAATAGTTATTAGGAAATCTAATTAACATGACACTATTGTGCTAAATGATATCGTTAAATACAAAAACACTAATTCACATGTAAAGTGTTGGTCCAATTGTAACAAAAAAATAAGCCTCGGTCTACTCATCCTATTAGAATGATCTTTTAAGATAGAAGCCTATAATGTAATATGGGATGAAAGCAGATTCAGCTCAAAAGAGCAATCAACCTGATCAAGACTCAAAAGAGCACAACAATTTGCACATTAGTATTGCTCCAATGAGAAGCCATATTACAGGCATCTTAAGCCATTACCACACTTGCCAAATACAAAACACATTTATACCATAAACATTGGACTACTCCTATTAGGTTTACCTTTTAAGGTGACAGGCCATTCTTATATACTATGGAAATGACATATTTCTGGACTATAGTCAAGAAGAAATCTCGTTCTTGTTCAAAATTTAAGAGAAAAGCTCACACAATAGAGATTTCCTTCTGAGGGCCATTTTTGTGAACTATTTACGAAGACTAAAAACACGTAGTCTTGATCTGCTTTGACAGTCAGTTTAAATATTATCTAAAATACTGTCTATTAAGTTGTATGTTTTACTTTAGCAGCTTTTACAATATTTGGCTAGTAAATTAATTTGGACCGCAGGAACATTTTGTTTGTTTTTTTACAGAAATACATGGAAGAAATGTGTTTTTTTTCTTTCTGAAAAATTACCTTAAGTTTGCATGGCTCAATCAAGCAAAAGATCAAGAGATCTCCTTTGAGCAATCTATGAGAAATTGAGAAGGCTCTCCAACCAGCGCTTAGTCCATGCCTTTCCATTAGATAAGAGGTCTTGTACTCATTTCCCCATTCATCAACCAATGTAATATTGGCGTCATGACTTGGTAAATATATGTCTGTGAATGCCTTCGGAAGATGCTGCCCATTGCAGAGAAAATGTCAAAAGAAATTGCTAGAACATAAAGTATTTCTCTCTACTCTACTCTAAATTGATATGCCACTTTCTTGAATTGGAGATAAAAAACATTATAAAGAAAAGATTACCAGCCAAAATCCATGAGCAACATTTGAGGGGAGCATGCATTTTAGAAATATAGGAAATTCATCAGAAAGTCTAGACATCACCCTCTCTGCCCGCTCCAAAACAGAGAACTTAGCTTCTACATCATCATCATAGACATCACCAGTAGTCGCCCTTTTTCGTTTGACGCTGAAAATGTGATGAGAGCAAGTTGGGAAGTTCAATAGAGGTGTGAGGAAGATGGCAAGGAATGGGGGGTAAGGCTCTGTTTGGCTGAAATGGAGCCTAAGTTTGAATATTAATTAACCACTCACCTCTTTGGCTTTCTGGGATTATTAGATTTTACCTGTTCAGCAATACAAATAGTTTATTGTCATTCAAAAAAAATATAGTAGCACACACTACCTTGAAATGGTCAAACCAACTAATTTATAAATTACAATTTATATCTCTTCATTTCAATCACCAGAAAAGGGTGGAAGAGTTTCCATACACTTAAACTACATTCTCCTTAGTCTTCCCTACAAAACCCTCCATCCAAAGTGTCCCTAAGATGTCTTGGTTATTACTTCCACCTATTCACAATGTATGTGTCTTTAATATGACCAAGACCCTATTTCACAATATCTTTCTATGACATAGTAAAGCTTTTCTCCATCAAACAGCTCCATAGTACTTGGTATTTTTTCGAAAACGATACTTATTCTGAATCAATACAAAAAAAAAACTTAACAAGGATTTCAGCCAAAGAACAATGAAAAATATGTTATGGGAAATTTAACGTGGTTTTCCTAAGTAGGAGTACTATGTTTTTTCCATAAATATGTGTGAATTATTGACATCCTGAAATTATACCACCATTATTTGGCATGATCAGAGATTCAGACATTAATTTGGCAGTATTAAAGACTTCTATTTAGCGGAAATATATGTTACTCCAACTTTAGAAAATCAAGTTGTATTTAGGATGTGTTTACTCGGACCGAAATGGTCTGCTCTAGTCCGAGCTGGTCTACTCTGGAAAATGTTTGATCTCTGTGTATTTTATAATTATGGAAGTCCAGTCTGATCTGTTTAAGGTTAGTCTGGTCTAGTCTGTTTAAGTAATATAGGTCTGAAAACAATTCAAGTAAAAACATTATTAATCCTATTAAGGACAATTTCTGATAGATTTATAAACAAAATAACAATAGTATGAAGATGAAACCATTCAACTTCACTTTCATGAAAAATAATAACAATCACAAAATTAGGGATTCAAATGTTGTCTCACATGAGTCTTAATGTTGGTCACTCCTAAGATTTCTCACTACCCCGACTCATGAGAAAGATGAACAACTATAAACGAAACAAGCATTTGTAACCGAAAAACTCATGTCAACACTACTTAAACCTAAATCAACAAATACTGGATAGGTTTATATCCTTAACGCAAAAAAAAAATGTAATGAAACTAAAAACTTTACTTGTTTAGCCTCAGATTTGAACTTTTCAGGCTTCTTAGAAACAAGCTTCCTCTTACTCTGCAATGGCATCTTCCTCTTAGTCTGCCACAAAGCACAAAAAGAGAAGCATTGTAACTGATAATGAAAATGGGGAAAAGATCAATAGACCTATCCATAATGCTTTAAGATATAAAAACTAATAAAAAATGAATAGATATAGAGAGACCTTAGAGGAAGAAGATGAGGGGCTTTTTGATGTGGTCGGAGAAGGAACACTAAGCTCTTTGAAATTCGAGCGCTGCGTTTCCATGGTTAGTCTTCGCAGCTTTCTCTCACTACCAGCTGTACGAACATACTGAGGATGTACTTCTATGTCGGTATATAATCTGAATTACGGAGTATTATATTCCGTACATACAGTATAAATACGGGAAAAGATTTTTTAGTACATACTCCGTATACGGTATGGACAGAGAACGCGCCAAGCAAGCGGAGACAGACACGCAAACGCGGGACAAGACGAAGTCACGAAACGGATCTGACGGGTCCGGCGTAGGACCGCTGTTAATCTATGAACCAACGTGGCCATTTCCAACTTTTTGCTAGTATGCCGAAATTAAAATTAGATTTAAATACTATGTACTCCGTATAAATACTCCGTATGTCACAATTTGTTTTAAATTTCTATAAAAAGCATTCTTTGATTATTGTTTCTGTAATATGTGTCATTTGTTGTGAAATGAAGAAGATGCAGAACAGATTAAAGAGATATATGATCATTTCTGAATTTCTGAGTTCCTGAATTTTGTGAATTGGATTACAAAGGATTGATCAAGCCATATTTATACTAGCTGAGCTTGATGATGAGTCATTAAAGACTACTTCTACATATTTTGCTGACACTATTAAACCCAGTCATCTGTCTATCTATGATTACAAGGATGGAAAGAAGCGTAGTGTCCTGGTTACAAGGATGATGACAAGGATGAACAATTCACACTTGTCATTCCCAGGATTTTACAACACTCCCCCTTGAATGTTCATCCTTGAATATGTATTTGTTATTTTAAAAACTTATTGTGAAAATTAAGGAGTAAAGATTACGACTTATAATGTCGTTGTATTTGGATGTACTGTCTCGTTAAAAACCTTATCAGGAAAAACCCAGTGGGATAAAAACCTGATGAAGGGAAAAAGAGTGCAGTGCATTCAAATACTCCCCCTGAATTTAGCATAAATTACGAAGGCGGCGCAGGCCGATTTTTTGTACAAGTTTCATGAACTTCTTCGGGGGTAATGATTTGGTGAAGAGGTCAGCTGGATTTTCACTGGATCTGATTTGTTGAATGTTGATCGTCCCTTCTTTCTCAAGGTCATGAGTAGAGAAAAACTTCGGAGATATGTGCTTCGTTCTATCTCCTTTGATGTAGCCTTCTTTAATTTGAGCTATGCATGCGGTGTTGTCTTCGTAGATCACAGTCGGGTGACAACTAATAGCTTTCATACCACATTCATCTTGGATGTGTTGAATCATAGATCGCAGCCACACACATTCTCTCTCGGTTTCATTCAGTGCAATTAATTCAGAATGATTTGATGATGTAACTGTCAATGTCTGCTTCATAGATCTCCATGAGATTGCGGTGTTACCATAAGTAAATACGTACCCGGTTTGTGATTTCGCCTTTTGAGGATCAAATAAATATCCAGCGTCTGCATATCCGATTAAAGCGGCCTTTTCATCTTTGTGGTAGAATAGGCCGAGATCAGTTGTACCACAGAGGATAACGGAATATGTGCTTGATCCCGTTCCAATGACGCCTTGTTGGGCATGAGCTGTACCTAGCTAATAAATTTACAGAAAATGCAATATCTGGTCTAGTATTATTAGCTAAATACATTAATGCTCCAATAGCACTCAGATATGGTACTTCGGGACCGAGTATTTCTTCGTCGTCTTCTCGGGGACGAAATGGATCATCGTGTATGTTGAGAGATCGAATAACCATGGGTGAAGTCAAAGGATGAGCTTTGTCCACATAGAATCTCTTCAACACTTTCTCGGTGTAATTGGATTGGTGGATGAAAATTCCATTCTTCAAATGCTCAATTTGAAGTCCGAGACAAAATTTGGTTCTCCCGAGATCTTTCATTTCAAATTCTTTCATAAGATATTTTGCAGTATTTTCAATTTCATCGAGAGTTCCAATAATGTTTAAATCATCAACATATACTGCAATTATGGCGAATCCCGAATTTGATCGCCGAATGAAAACACATGGACTAATCGGATCATTCTTATATCCTTCTTTGAGAAGGTATTCATTGAGACGATTATACCACATTCGTCCAGATTGTTTTAGTCCATACAATGACTTTTGTAATTTAATGGAAAACATGTCTCGAGGTTTCGAGCTATAAGCTTCAAGCATTTTAAATCCTCCGGGAACTTTCATATAAATGTCTGTATCGAGTGAACCGTATAAATATGCAGTCACTACATCCATTAGGTGCATTTGCAGCCTTTCAAAAACAGACATGCTAATGAGAAACCTTAATGTAGTTGCATCAACTACTGGAGAATAGGTTTCTTCATAATCGATTCCCGGCATTTGAGAAAAACCTTGGGCAACAAGTCGGGCTTTATATCTAACAATTTCATTTTTCTCATTGCGTTTACGCACAAATACCCATTTAAAACCCACAGGTTTTACGCCTTTTGGCGTAGGGACTATCGGTCCAAAAACATCACGTTTTTCAAGTGATTTTAATTCAGCCTGAATAGCTTCATTCCATTTTGGCCAATCGTGTCGTTTCTGACATTCTTCTATTGATGTTGGCTCATTGTCATTGTTTTCATTCATTGCATTTGTGGCAACGACATAGACAAATATCTCATTAATATCAATATCTTTTCGATTCCATTGCATTCCAGTAGAAACGTAGTTTATTGAAATTTCATAATTATCAACGTTTCTATCAGTATCTGGAATATCTTCCTCATTTGAGGAAGTTGGATCGTTATTTGAGATGTTTGTTTTGTCAATATCATTTTCTATGCCGGTATTTTCAAATTGTTCATTTTCTTGTTCAGAAGGATGAACATCTTTGGCATCACAGATCAATTCCTGCCTTTTAGATTTTCTTGGTTTTATGTCTTTTGATCCAAGTGGCCTGCCACGCTTTTTGCGTATAGAAGAATCATTTGCAAGATATTTTTCAAAATTCTCTACAGGAATTTCGATTCTGGAAGGAGCATTCATAGCAGGAATATGTGACTTTGTCACTTTCTTTGTATCTGTGAATGCATCAGGCAACTGATTTGCAACATTTTGTAAATGGATTATCTTTTGCACCTCTTGCTCACATATATTTGATCTAGAATCAAGGTGTGATAATCCTGTTGCATTCCATGTTATTTCATTCGTACTTGGGTCCAATTTATTAGTTTCTCCCCCTAAGGTTGGGAATACTGTCTCATTGAAGTGACAGTCAGCGAACCGTGCGGTGAATAAGTCACCAGTCATCGGTTCAAGATATTTGATTATTGAGGGAGATTCAAATCTAACATAAAAATTCCCAACCTTTTTTGAGGACCCATTTTTGTACGATGAGGTGGAGCAACCGGAACATAAACAACACAACCAAATATTATTATGTGTGCTAAGTTTGGCACTTGTCCAGTAACTAATTGCATTGGGGAATATTCATGATATGCAGTCGGTCTAAGCCGAATTAAATTTGCTGCATGCAAAATAGCATGTCCCCAAGCTGATGAAGGTAAATTACACTTCATTAATAATGGTCTAGCGATTATTTGTAATCGTTTAATCAAAGATTCAGCAAGACCATTTTGTGTATGGACATGAGCAACAGGGTGCTCCACATCAATCCCAATCGACATACAATAGTCGTTAAATGATTGGGAAGTAAATTCTCCTGCATTATCAAGTCGGATTCTCTTTATAGAATGATCCGGAAAATGATCTCTTAATCGTATAATTTGAGCGAGGAGTTTAGCAAATGCTAAATTTCTAGTCGATAAAAGACTAACATGTGACCAACATGTTGAAGCATCAATCAACACCATAAAATATCGAAATGGTCCACATGGTGGGGCTATCGGCCCACAAATATCTCCTTGAATCCTTTCTAAAAATGCAGGTGATTCAGTTGCAATTTTGTTCATAGAGGGCCTGATGATCATTTTGCCAAGAGAACAGGCCTTTCAAGGAAAATCACTTGATAATGGAACCCTGATATTCTTTAATGGGTGTCCAAGGGAAGTCTTAATGATTTTATGCATCATTACTTGGCCTGGGTGACCTAAACGGTCATGCCATAACATCAATGTTTTCTGATCATCTAACTTTGTGTTAGAAACCAAATTTATTTCGAATGGACTAATATATGTGAAATATAGTCCTGAGGAATAAGCTGGCATTTTTTCACAAATATATTTAGTGCCAGATTTAATTGTCGTTAGACAAAGATATTCCTTTTGGTTTCATTCATGGTTTCTATGTGATAACCATTTTGACGCATATCTTTAAAGCTTAATAAATTTCTCCGCGATTTGCTGGAGTATAAAGCGTCATTTATAAGTAATTTCGTCCCATTAGGGAGCATCACATATGCTTTCCCAGAGCCTTCAATGAGCTTCGCAACACCTGATATTGTATTGACTTTAGCCTCAACTAAAGTCATTTGAGAAAAATATATTTTATTTCTCAAAATGGTGTGCGTTGTGGCGCTGTCTATCAGACATAGCTCTTTATCACTTGGGTGATCCATATCTTCAATATATGTAAATAAACATAAGCTTGACCACAAATTATGCATATTATTTAACATAAGAGTACACATTTATTTAAAAACAGGATAAAAAGGGGAAGAGAGAAAAAGTACATAAAACTAGTATTTTACAATATCAAGAGTCTAATATTTTATTTTGTAGCATTTTGATTAATGGCAAATGCATCGTCCATAATAGCATCATCCACGAAGAAGTCGGACACGTCAAATTTTGGCAGAGGTGGACTTGTGTCATTAACATAATTAGCTTCCACATTTTTGCCTTTGTTCAGATTCATGGAAGCTTGAAATAACTCCACCAGATGTTTAGCCGTGCGACATTTATTAGCCCAGTGTCCCGTCATGCCACATTTATAACAAGTCGACTTTCCCGAGGATTTTGGAGGGCGATTTATTTGATGGGCCTTTTGTTTGCCCTTGCCCTTGTAATTTGGTCTTTCGACCTGTTTGTATTCTCGGTGTGACTTGTTTTTATGACCATTAAAATGCCCACGTTTAAAATGCCTTCTACTGCCACTGTATGTTGCATTTGATTCAGTGGCTAAATTATGGCCAGATGGACCATAAACAGAAGGACTAGAACCAGTGGGTCTTAAATTATAATTTTTCATCAGAAGGTCATTATTTTGCTAAGCTACCGATAATACTGATATTAAGTCGGAGTATTTTTTAAAACCCTTTTCTCTATATTGCTGATGTAGCAGCATATTAGAAATATGCATTGTAGAAAAGGTTTTCTCCAACATATCAGCATCAAAGACTTTTTGTCCTCATAACTTTAGTTTAGA